CAGTATTTTAACTGTGACACTGGTGAGGTTAACAGGTCTGTAGTTTGGTGTGAGTTGTCTTGATCCTGTTTTGTGTATTGCAGTGACGACTGCATTCTTCCAGTCTGTTGATAACTCACACTAGCCAACTGACATATTGAATATAGTAGTCCATGGGGCGGTAATATATTGTGTAATTTTTCTCGAGATTTCAGGATGTAATTCATTCGGTCCTGTTGACTTTTCCATGTACATGGTGCTAAGAGCCCTGATCACATCGTCTCGATCGAAGTCCACGACCTTCTAATTTTGTATTTGGGTCTGGTTCCTCGTCCAGAAGAGGCTCCTGAGTGAAATCCGCAAGCATGCCTTCATCCGTTTTGGAATCCGAACTAAAGTTTGGACTGAAGAATAACTGTCTACGTCGTTTAGACACGCGCTATTGCCCAGTTGAAGACAAAACAAGGTGATTGAGTAGATGAAGGCTCTAGATTTCATCATAAATATAAATGTACATTATCACCTAAACAAACATTACCACCCAGTTATCCAGCCTGTTGTGGATACAGAATAATATGCCAATCATTGTCATGTTAAGTCTATGGTGGCCTTGGACTTTAAATGTACATTCCCTATTGGCTATTATTTAATTCATTCGTTACATATTGTGTAAATGTTGTTTACCATTTTTATGGTACGATGTGGTTTGCTTGTTTGGTATATAAATAGAGCATGTCTGAAATACAATGATTCATATCTCAGAGGTTGGGACTTGTGTTCTGGACTCAACTGACTGGGCTAGACAGGGAAGCGAGACCAATCGAGACTCTAGGCCGTCCGTACGTGTTTACGTGTCATTGAATCGATCGATAAGTACGCTGCTCTCTAATTTTCCAGTCAAGGACACAACAATTAGCACAGGGTAAAAATCAACCACAATTTAATGTCATAACACAGCCAATAGTTGTTCAGTCAGTAATTTAATCTAAGTTACAATAAACCAGTTGATAAAGGATGTAATAAAATTAACAAGCGCACCAAATAGATATTATTCTATTCTTCCTGGATAGATCATGTACAGATTCGTTCGACAGATAGTATTTGGTTGCCTTATAAAACAGAGTGTTTCGAATTCTGTAGGAGTGCTCCAGTTCACAATCAAAAATGCACAATCACAGTCAATGCAATCAACACAACCGAAAGGGGGGACAAACTAATATGGTTGCCGCCAAGACTAAGTATCAACTAAAAAAATATAAATGCAGTTCAGGAAGAAACAGGGAAACTCAGTGAAAGAGTAAAAAAAATACATCTATAATAAAGTACAAATACTACCATCTCAAATTGGATCAAAAAGACTAACAGCATATACAAACGAAGGAATAAATTACAAGTGTATATATGCAAGAATTCTCATACAAAAATCCTTCAAAACGGATCTTACGTCCGCGCGTTTATTATCCGCTACGTTATTGAGGCCAACTTTGATGGTTTCGTCCAAATCCGAAGCTGCTTCCTCAAAAGCTGAAAGCTGTTCATCCGCTGCCGGCTGGTTACCTGAAGGGTATTTTCAGCAACTCAGTCATCTCAAGCTTCCACAAGGACATTGTAGAGCGGCATGCTTTGAACAGCCAAAATGACGGCGGCTTTCAGCATCTTCTCTATGCAGCTGGTATGAGTCTGTTGCACACGTTGTGATACCACTTGTTGCAGTTTTCACGATGCATTTCATCCTCGATAGAGAAAATGAAGGCGGGTTTACCATAACGATGTTTTACTTGCGCAACTGGAATTTTTAAGTGATCCCACAGAGAGAAGAACAAAACGCTGGTCTCCAAAATAAGTGTTTTATAAGGCTTTAAATGTGGCAGACACTAAACAAGGAAAAACTGAGATATTTATGTGCTACTGTAACTGACAAAATACGACTTCAATAAATACAAAATATTCTCTTTCACCTTTAGATAAAGTCAATCCTAAGAGATTTTTCCAAGGAGGAAAAACACCACTGACCTTTCTTCACGCCGTGCTCACCAGTTAACTCAAAAGTACAGGTGATAAATGGATTTCAAAATACCGACACCCTCGACGATTAATTTAACTGAACTTAATTCAGTTAAAGCGAAAACAGTAGTCTTTATACGTAATAAACGATCAAAACGTTAAGACCAACTCAGAAAGGAAAAATACCGTTTTGCTTTTTTTAAAGATCTCGCGAATCAATCGACTTCTCTGAACATACCTTCTGGTTTGGAAAAGCACTTTAACGGCTTTTTCACACCAAAGAAGCTTCTAATAGCCACTTATTTCCGAAAATCTAAGTAACTTGTGCAAAACAGATTTTGTCATTTTATAATATTAATATACTACTTTAAATACGGGACGAAGAGGTTTACGTATCCGGTTGATGGTCAGTACTATTTCGTTATAAAAAACTCTACAAGATAAAAAATTCTCATATTGCTTTACAGAATGGAAGGCTCGGTAATATTTGGGATTTGAGGCAAGAACAAGTGTAACTCTTTTGGTGGTAAATAAATGTTTAAAATTGCTTTAACACAGGTAAGACCTACCTCTATGCCGATGACTTAGAGTCATTTATAACACTGACATTATCGATGTACGTGGTACTATGCAAACAATCCAACATGAACTCAACATGGTAGACGACTAGTGCAAACGCTGGGGGTTATGGCTCAACACAGAGGAGTGTGGCTGGCAATGTATAGGGGACACTTCTCTTAAAATAAAACCAACACTTAACAACAATACACTGCCAAGACTGGCATCGGTAACTGACCTAGGGGTACATTACCCACACAATCTTAATTTCTCTGGACACATCACAGGCTCTCTTCATGTCTATAACAAAATGGACATTGAGTTCAGTTTGCCTTATTTTTCCTACTTTGCAGTTATATTAGTTCCTTTTTCCACCCTATTTCTTCACTTGAAGTAGAAAGGTAACTCACTGAACCTATCGATACGGTTCAACTAAACTCGGTCGCTAAGGGACACTCACTACCACCCTGAAAAGTCATGAGAACCGCACAATGGACTGCCCACTACCAGTGGTCTTGCATCTATGGAGCCTGTTACCCATCAACTGGTTAGGACAACACTAAATTGGCGCCAAGTTAGTGTGAGTTTCTTCCTGTTTATCCTGTATTAGCTTTTTACTCTTCTGTACACGATGTTGACTAGCAATTAATATTATTTCTCCACACGTTACCTTATCCACAATTCATATACTTCTATACTTTTCTGCCTGCTTTAACAAACAACTATCCTACATTATACCCTTCTTAGTGCTTATACTCTAACTGGCAAACTATACTTTATACTATAGTCAATTAAAGCACTGCATTGATGCCTTACCCACAGTCCATAACTTGTAACTGTCTGATAAGCTTGTAAAGTGGTACTTATAAAAAATAGTGTTTTCCAACAGGATGTGAAACAGAGGATTGTGTGAGGTATGACACATATCCAAAAATAAGTTTAAACGAGACTAACATCACAAAAGGAGGGAGGGTGGAGTTACTGACCAGAAGCATTGATGGTGAGGGCGATGACTTCAATCCACCCGTGTTTGTGGGGACACAATATTTTGTATGTATCAGGCTCTTTGTGACTGAGAATAAGTCAATCAACCTGTGATATAGCTTGTCTTCCTACGCTCACCACTCAGACTCATGTTTCCAATTTTATGCTAGATTAGCTATTCTGCTAAGACGACCTATAAAATGCTAACTCGGAATTTTACACTGAGATTGTGTGGCTGGCATGGGATGGAGAAAAAAAGAATAGAAAGAAAAAATTAGGCAATAAAAGATATAGTCATTAGTATTCACAACACTTCACCCTCTATATGCACACTCCCTTCTAATAAACCGCTTTCCTTGTACCAACTTCCCTTCCTTCATGTGAGCCTACTCTTACTTCTTGGACGTCACAGCTCATTGTTTTTTATTACTACATTCTCTTATATGGATCCTCTGACTTCATTTCACTCTAACAAGAGATAATATGAATTATTTCTAATTTATTATACCTCTGTCTGTTCTACTAGACAAAGTTAAGCAACGTATGGCGTTCATATCCAAGTGTCTTGTTGCTCTTCTGTTTTTCTTTTTTCTCTTCAGAACCTTGCTCTGAGGGCGCGGCTATGGAAATTTTGACGTCTGGAACGAACTTGACGTACGCGTCTCCTCAAGGTCATGGTTTACAGCAAGCGCTCTACGAGTATACTTTATAACAGCTATAAACTCAATTGGTTGGGAAGCATGCTATGCCCAACAAGCGTTTAAATTTGTAGACCACGTCTGTAAAGATGGCGTGTACCTGCACCTGCAGAAATATATTATTATTAAATAGTTCTGTAAGTCTTCGACATCGATGCTGATCCCACTAGTTGTGCCAGACAGATCCTAGCTGAGGACTCTCGGTGACATATCTCTACCAGACCGCGAACGTGGACACTGTACTACAAATCTTCTGTAGATACTAACCAGCCGAGATCAGACACCTTCCAAAATATCTTAAAGCTTTCAAATGTATCTTTGAACTCATTCACACTTAACTCTTACTTTAATTTACTTGGTATTATTTTACTTGAATCTTTCTATTGACGTTTCTGGGACCGAAATTGATCAGTCTTTTACTGGCATATGTGCATACTGTGCGTATGCCTCGATACTGCCTTAATTTACAAGCATTATAAGCAAAGATGGATAGTGGCTAGCAGTAAAACAATACCAAGTGAATTAAACTTCACCCCATCGCACAAGCGAGTGGCTATCAGGACTCAGTAGCTAAGTGGATAACGCGATGGCGTTCGAAGCGAACGTCACTGAGTTCGAGTCCCAGAGTGAACATCAACTCTGAGATGCAGGTACATCCAGCTGACGAGTCTCAAACAGGACGAAACGCGCGTCCTGGATTCCACTGCCAGCCACTATCCATCTTTGCTTATAACTCCTACTTTGATCGGACTTGGGTGTCTTGGTTACAAATGAGATATGGATGGTAACGTTACCAACCCCTGAATATCCATGGCATTCTTAGTCCTGTTAGAAAGGTATATCCGGAACCTAATTATCATTCGGTTCTGACTCATTAGAATAAACCTCACTGGTTTTAGCTCTTGCAATTTTCTGGCTAGTCCTTTACGATCTTTTCTAGGATGATGTTAAATATTATTTGAAACCGTGTTTCCTTTTCAGGTTTACAGATTTCCCCAAGATTGATATAATATGTGGTAACTGGTAGTTACAAAGGGTTTTTCAGCTGTAATTACCTTTTCCTTCACTCACGATGTCGATGCTAGCTAGCGACTTACACAATTACTCTGCGTTCATACAAAAGATATTGAAGGTTGTAGAATTAATGAGCCCATTTAAGTCTACCAACTCTGAGCATATGCCAAACCTGATGAGAGACCCAAAACTAGTACCCAGTGGTTGGGAACTATCACAGGATTTGCGATATCTAAAATATCAAAACACGAGCGTAACTTATATATTGAGCTTGGGATCTAAGTGGTCATATAATACCTGTAATAACTCTTTTGATTACTGCTAAAATACTGAAGCCACTCCATTACATCGGTAACTGCACTTAAGTAAATTATCAGCGTCTCAAAAGTTTATCGCAAAGACATTGAATATGGCTCAGGTACTAAGTGTTTGACAACGCTTTGATCAGTAACACCTTCTAATATAACTCGTACCCACCAAGAGAAATTAAAAGATAGAATCGAGGAGATTGGAAGATATATTTGGTATGAAACCAATATATCGGAATCCTCTGATCTAATCTGGCTAGCGATTGCAGTAAATGTTGAGCAGGGCGTTCCCACACGTGATCTGGTGCGGATTCATGACCGAGCGCCTTCAGCTAGGTGAGTCCATTAAAACATGTGGTCAGCATCTAATGTCGAAAACTTACAGAGCTATTGATTTTGGGGATTTATTTAGCGCTACAACATTTTCTCAGATTGCGCCAAGTTCGCGACTTACGTAACTGTCGCATATGTAACGGTTGGTGTCAGCTTAAAATGTAGGATTCAGTATTATTTATCTATTTTACGCTACATGTACTCACATTACATATGTATCTATGTTGACAGTTGCACTTAACTTGCCATTGTTTCAAGGTTTTTTACTCTTATGAACATTTAATATATCTCCCGATTTTGGGGTTTTCCACCGAGTCATATGGAAATTCGTATTTTTCCCCAAAGTCTGAGGAAATACAAGGGCAGAGCACTTAATTCGGTGTTGCTCGGTCTCGTGAAAAGGAATTTATTGTTACTGTTGTTATTTGAGGCTTACGATATGTATGCATTTATGTCGACGGTATGTTGTTAATTTTAACATACAATATTTATGAAGCAGCAGTCTTTTTGCCATGGTAATGCATATCATCTGCGTTCGCTGAAGGATTATTACAAAAGTTTGCAAGATAGGACTACTTCGATAAGGTAGATAAATCGAAACCGTATTGATGCCTTTCTTCTAAGAATCGTACAATCAGTTTGACGGGAAACTTTCACACACCCTCGTTGTGTGTGCAACAGACGAGTCTTAGGAGCCGTCCAAATTGCCATGCCTCATTAGCACAACAAGATGTACACTGGATTCATAGGAGAAGTTAATTCAGTGGTAATAAAAAGAGGTTTCATATAAGGATATAATAAAGTGAGAATTATTTCGTAAAAAGAGAGGTATAAGGTGTTTTACTCTCACGATTTAGAGGAAGACAAAGAGTGTATACACTTACGCCACTGTGATCGATTCTGAGCCATGTCAACCAGTCTCCAACCATTGGTTACGATAATCACGCGGACCCCAACCAAGTAGTCTATCTATCAACATGGTTCAGACTAGAAGTTAGTGACTTCAAGCACTGATGCCACGTTTTGATTTAGTCGCCCCTAACTTCCAGCCGTCTCCAACACTAGTCAGCATTTCATGCCTTGTAAAATGAGGTAAACAAATACTGTCGCACAGTTAGCCTTCTTAATATTCGAGTTCTACTTACGACACTTTTTTCTTTATTCTCAAATGTCGTGGTATGCAGAGTCATCATAGAATCGCTTGAAGGTCATTCATAAATTATAGTTCATAAGTGTTAATAAAGACCTAATACAAAACATCTTACATTCGGTAGTTACTAAGTGCCTCGTCAGAAACATCAAAATATTTTTAAACTTTAAAGAAGTAGAAAATGATGAGTATTTCCAACACTCTTAAGTAAGATGCACTCGAAGTCTATGGTTTAATTTGATGTATAAACTACTTAATGTTATACTGTTATACAATCGACTATTGTATAGTATGACTAAATTCCAAGTAATTTGTGCCTCACGCTGCTCTATAGCCTTTACATCGAAGATTTTACAGTAAAATAATCAAGTGATAAGTTTCCGTGTTGGATGTCATTTGAATAGTCACTTGACCTTATTATCCTACTTTATAGTTGTTCGTGCAACTAGTCATCGAATCCCGACTTGATAGGTTTCAAGAGATAAAATCACAATTAAATCAATTAACCGAGATTAATCTGTTGATACAAAACATCCAGTCAAGATATTTGGATTATCAGCTACCAAATGGTGGTAAAGAATTCATTGTTATTCACATTGAACTCCAGAATTTTTAGTAAAATCCAATTTTAAATTATTTAGACCAGTACATAATAAAATTCAAATCTAAGATGAGTGTCTGGTTCTATTCATAGCTCATCAGTTGAGCATGCATGGACCATAGTCTGGTATTGTTCTCACAGTAACTAGAATCCATTGCGATATTCCAATACCGGTGTTGTTATCTGATTAGTTGACCATCCATAATTGCTTTCGGTTTGAATTTGTTTGTTGCAAGTCTTTGAAGGCTAAACTGATGGGTTCTCGTTGCATAAATGTTCATATTGCTTTTAATGATGACTTGGTCGTATTTTATGTCAATTATGTTTGACGTTCGATTCCCCCTGTTTTACGTGATTACCCATTTTATATTTGTTCTCTTGCTGACTATATCGTCCGTTTTTGTTATGAAGTTTTAGCTTTACCTCAATCAATGAGTGAATATATTCGAAGTCCTCTGATAAGATTAATGTATGAAAAGTTGGATCATCAAAATAAACATTCGAACTCAAATCATGACCATGTAGTTATGTTCAATTATTTTCATAATACACTTTTTATGATATTTTCAATCTTATCAATGTAGTGGTATGATTATCGCGCTGAATATGTAGATTTTGAACTTCGGGATAAGTTCATTAAATCAAAACAAGATGAAGAAACTTGCGAATTTTTAAACAATTGCTATGTCAAATCTGACTGGTTATTTACACACTTTTACCATGCTGTTGCTAAAGCTGTTTTAACTTGGTTCATGACTTCAACTTCTATAAATGGGTAATTGATTTTGGCCCTTTGCTCTTACCTATATTTTTTATTTTACATAAAAAATTCACTTGTAAAGGTATTTTATGCAAATATGTAATCAGATTCTACAATTAAAATTGACATTATAATGCGATCTCCATCATGAACTGACATCACGCAGTAAGCTATTACTAGCCGAAAATGGCACAGGCACTCATAACTTTATAGTTTGGGGCTTAATGTTATGGTTTCACTACCACGTATACAAAGTAATTCGAATATTATTCGGAATTATCCAGTTGATATGCATAAAATCAATTATTACTAGTTAACTAAATTGAAGTTCAAACATATGAGTTGTGGTACGATGGTAATGGTCGTAATAATAATGATCGTCGTTCAAGAATCGTGCAGATTATTATTACTATAACCAGATGGTGAGTGAAAATACTAGGACCATAAAAAGACTGAATAAATAGTTTTTGTGCAGTTAAATTCTGTCTGTGAATCGAGTGATCAAAAAACTGCACACCTGAAACTAATTTTAAGAGCTGGAATTCTATCAACTTGGTATTTTGTGTAGAATGTATTAGATAACACTGAGTTTTCTATAAGTTGACTGCTAAATTTCACTTACATATGCCTGTATTAAATAATTCAAAATGTCATAACGCGACTACCAGAAATGCTTCAGTTTATCATTTCTACTCGTGACACCCTATGAGTAGTGATTGGTTTTAAAATCCTACATTTATTTTAGTATTATCGGCGTTTTATTATTCACATTTGGAAACCCCATCATCTTCAATTGAAAAGCTATGCTGTTTTTATTGATTGTGATATCCCTCAAGTATCGGACAGAAATAATGTAAATCTCTTTATTCTTATTTAAGTTCGGTACCTGTAGTCAATCAGTGTTCGAAACTATCTAAACAGTTGTAATATGCTTCGATATTAATTTGGATTTTCCTAGCATTCATTTATCTTTATCTTGTCCTTTTCATCAATAGCTTTAATAGCAGCTTTGTGAAATCTCGAAGCGCTAACTGCTTTGTGAGGATTGGGTTTATCTATTATTAGGTTGAACCAGTTTAGAATATTAACATTTTGAATTCGTATGCTATCAGGATTAGTCAATGAAATGTTTTTGGGATAAAAAAAGTAATTATTGTATTGTGAGAAATATCTTTCTAATCAACATCGAATGATAAAATACTAGTATGGTTGTATTGTATTTTTAGTGCTCTAAAGTACTAATGAAAGATAATTTCATTACTCGCCACATAATTTTGGAGGCATTCACCGGTATAACGCTTCGAGAATCGTATCTGTAATTATATTTACCATAAAACGACTTGTGTCAATTCGGAACATATATTTATTAATCAAAGAAGTAGGACTTCAGAATTCCAATTTTCGATTCATTGGGAGATTACAGTTTGTTCATCCCTTCATTATAGATAGTTGCTATCATTTTCATTCTTAATACAGTTTACGTTGTTCTGGCTAGTTTTCGAAATCCTGAGTATATTGAAAACATATTAATCAGTTTATTAGTCTTTTTGATACTGGAGAGGCTTTTAATAATATGGTCAGCGAATTTGCGATCGTTAGAATGAACAAAAAGGATTCTGGTCAACAAGTGATACGCAAGGTTAAGATGTGGTTGTGATAGCCGCTCACTAGGCTGTTTTGATGCAAGCCCCCGAAAAATTGAGAATAAAAAACAAAACCACTACCCAGAAAAAATAAATTTTATGTAACAGAATGCAGTACTTGTAAAAAAGTTATTACCGCGAAAAATAACATGGTACAATCTTATAAGGGGCTGAAGAAAATCAGCTTGTAGGTTATCCACTTTTCAACCAATTAAGACTTGATTGTTGGACCTAATTCTTGTGCATCGTTTTACTCTTGTTAGTCGGTTTGTTTTCTCTTATTTTGCACCAAATATCTATCCGTAAACCTGCACGTTTAAACCTTTTTTTAATTCTGTCCATTTTTGTATTTTTCAAGTTTAGTTGGTCGTGGTTCTATGTTTGTTTTCTCATCAGCACAATTTCTTCGCTTACTTGATGTTAACGATAGCTTCAAGTTGAATTCTTTACTCGACTTAGGTAGGTAGATAATTGATTGATATGTATATATAAAACTGAGGGCTGGTTTGCATCATGCTGACAAGTCTACATTGTGTACCTGTATGTTGTAACGAAAATCCTAGCATAAGTACCTGTAAAGCATAAATTATCCGTATACTTACAAAGTGCATAAAATGGATCCATAGGAAAAAAGATCATTTTAACAAAGGACATAGTTGGACAGGAAATTTTAACACCTCTAATACAATAATCCCATTAAGCCAGTTAGATGAAGATATGTCTTCAATATGGAATTCTAAAGTACCTTACAACCTTACTGCAAAAAGGCGATAATTTCAAAATTCTTTCTTGTTTTAAATTTATGTTCATGATATTGTCCAAAATTCTAACTAAAGTTTTGGCATCAAACTCTGCTTGAAGAACATAAACCGATTAAACAGATTCACTTGAGCTAAAAAAAAAAATACTACAGTCATTAAATAAAGCAGTTAATTGAACCAAAGAATTAATTACTTCCGTTTTAATTTAACATCAATCCCCACTTATGAATTAAGTATTCTTCCCAATTATTCAAGTAACCAAATTTTGTGACTCATTGCATTTATTGGAAACTATAATAACAAAAAATTAGATGAAAATAATAGCATTTCTGATATATATATGCTCGTTAATATTCCTGTCAGGTGGCGACTGAATTACCAAATCACTCGATTTTCAACCAATAGATCGTGAAGTCGAACGTTACTTCATCTACTTCAGTTTGAACAGCTGGATAATATTGCTTGCCCTCATATATGCGATCTAGTTGAAAGCTACGTATATGAACTTGTAAATATTAAGTTAGCCACATAAAATTAATATAAAATCAAATATTTCTCCCATTGACTTAAAAGAATTCTATGTAATGACTAATTTTGTTTCCAAATAATTCCCAACGTTTAAGTTATTTGCGATCAGGATAGTTAAGATGATACTAGGTGAGTACTTTAAATGTCTATATTTCTTACTCTGGGTAGTCAGTGTAAAATGCCATAATAGAAAATATTGTAACTTATTTCGTTTCATGTGTTAATAAACGTTGTGGTAAAAGAAAACGAGTTGAAGTATTTTATCATCAATTATTTTTGCACATATGGGTAGTACACATCCACCTCAATATTAGTCTCTTAATTGTCAACGTCGGTGAGATCAGTTTCGCTCTATACTTGTGAAACCTGGCCTCCGAGTTGAGGATGTTAGACGACTCTGTGTTTGCTCATCGTTGTCTCTGAAGGATTGCTGACATCCAGTGGCAACACCCTGTTAGCAATGCAGAGATTCGGCTTCGTGTGTTCAGGCACAGTGACGACAATTCAATTAGTATCACTATCTTCAAACATCAACTTCGGTGGCTTGAACATGTTCTACGAATGTCGTCCCAGAGAATTCCACGTCGTGTATTATTTGCCGACGCTGGAAATGGTTGGAAAAAACAGAGAGGTGGTCAGTGTATGACATGGTGTCGTAGTATGATAGAAAACTATACAGGACTGGCTTCTGCTGGTCTTTCACAATCCCTTGGTTGGGGTTCTAGAGATGGTGCAACACAATGGCTAGATAAATGAAAAATGACCACCTAAGGTATATGTTGACTAACTGATTATGTGATTTTCTTGTAGCACCTTCAAGCCCAATAGGGATTGCTTTAGCTTAAACTATTAAGTTGGCACCTGGTGTTCACCTATCGAACCTCAGTTGATTCACTATATTATGCGTCTATCATCTACTGTTATCGGTGAAAACCATCTCACTTCATAACATAGTTGCAATCTGCTGATCACGTCTTTGACAACTACTATTTACAATAATAATAATAATAATAATAATTATTATTATTATTATTATTATTATCCGTTACAGCAGTATTTCTTTACACGAATAAGACGAGATTTTCCTTATTTTGAATCATAAATTGACGTCAGCAGATAACCACAACCAGTTAAAGAATTTAACCCGATACCTTCAGTTATTTCGGTGAGAGTGGAACTATTAAGCTATTGAGTCGAAGACAACTATTTATTGATAAAAGAAACATAAAAAAAGTTTGTGAATGGTTTACAGATTGTACTATCAATATTTCAATATTAAAAAATAATTCATGATTGTGTTAGACATTTTTTTAAAATACAGGTGCCGGTGACGGCAATGTGACATTAAAAATGGCTCCTTACTTTAAAGATATATTCGTCACAGAAATTTCTCCAGTTATGCGTTGGCGTTTAAGTAAACATGGCTTTACGTAAGTTGACTGATTATATTCTATCATTTTTAGGTAATGATTTCAAATGATCTTTTACTAAACGATTATGAGAATCTTTTGAACCAACAGTATTCCACTTAATTTTGGTTGTAACATGAAATTTATTCTAATCAAAATAAATTTGATACATTATGAAGATTTACTTCAATTTATTTAATCCCTTGTATTGCTTTGTTTTGTTAACAGAATATTAGACGTTGATTCTTGGGAATTAATGAATAAAGAATTGAATACACCCAAAGTTCCATCTCATTTTGATGTTATTAGTTGTTTAAATTTGTTAGATCGTTGTACAGCTCCAATTACCTTATTGAAACGAATTAGTCAAGCTTTGAAACCTACGACGGGAATTTTAATTCTTGGAATAGTTTTACCATTGAAACAATATGTTGAAAGTGAGTTTGTAATTTTGGTTGACATTAAATTCTTCTCTTAATTTCATAACAGATTAAGCTGACTTATTGTCCTACCTCATTATAATGAGTTATTTTCATCAACAATTTATTTTGACGCTAACACTTACGTTTAACTTTATAGCAATCAGTCTCTAATACATTGATCTGGTCGACATTCAAAATAGAGGTGGCATGTATTTATTAGATAAAAACTGAAATCTCTAGGGTCCTTCAAACGATTCAGGTAAAAAAAGAAAACTATAGAATGTTTGAAATTTTCCAACCTTTGAATTATCTGACATTATTTCAAAACTCATGTACACAGATCCCAAATTTTAGAATTAATAAGTATTTTAGTGGAGTATGTCGAATTGTTCAGTAACATAAATAAGTTTATTGCAAATAGAACCCTGATGGTGGCTACTAGGGATTTCCAAATTTATGTCACTGGTGACTCGTAAAATATCGGTTTTGTTTAATCAGTTTAAAACTCAGCCAAGAAGTACGTTCGACTCTGTTTTACGGCTAAAACAGACAGATATAAGTATAAAACCTTACAAAATGAAACTAGTTTGTGGTATCACAATTTACATTAGTGTGCTAAACAAAAACCAACGAGATGCAAAACTTTTGAAATAAAATTGAAATAGATAATATCTTAGTTTATTTTCGTGATCGGCCAACGGTATTTTCTAATTACGAACGTTCGGAATTTTCCTAATACTAATGGTATCTAATGCGAACTCGATAGACCGGCGTCTGACCTACAACACTTCGAAAATTATCATCAACTCCATGGAACGAAGAAAGGATACAGGTACTTATAAAAAGCTTGATTTTCAAGAAATTAAATTTGATATAGAACGGCTCCGTATAAATTATAACTAACCATGATCTTGAAACAGTAATATTAGCAAATTAAATGGAAAAATAGCCGATCAAATGTCAGCAAAGATCATTGCGGAATATCAATTTAAAAAATATCACGGTTATCCTTGCACATAAAGCCATCATTTACTAATAAAAATAATATAACCTGAGACAATCCCAGTAAACTTGTAAATTATTTAATTCTTAAAAACGATACTATTGATTGCAATTAATTCAATCTGGTCTGTTTTAGACTGCATCATCTAGTCTATCTAGCGACAAGTATTTTCCAGTATCCTGGAGATTTCATCCCAAAAATCCATGCATCTCTACGCATCTTAATCAGAGTGATAGTAAATACATCAGCTTTTATAATGTCTTGGTTAAACTACACTTAAATTTCAAATACCTCATCCTTCTTCAATCAGTATTACACGTCTTGATGAACGAAAAGTTACCATACTTAATACTTGACCGGGGTAATTCAATCGGTGTAAGTTCATGACCGTAATAACTGAACCATTGTTCTTGTCTAGAGAGATTGTGTTATTCAGAATTATTCGTACTACAAGGAGTCTTCTGTGATTTCGACTAATCTGCGGGAATCACTTTCATTTCTCATAGTCTGATTCGACTGAATTTGGAGTTGCTTATCATCGAATCCCGTCTCAGTAATCTCGTTTTGTCAGTCACATGCAACGTAGAACCTGGTACATGTGTACATCGGTTCACGTTTACATTATCCCATTGATGAAGAGGGAAGAAACAGTCAGGGTAAATCTCAGAGTAGTAGAGCTAGGAACAATAATAATGGTAATAGAAAAAAATTAAACATCCATGATACAATTCGCAAAGGAAATATAAATTAGTGCAGCAATCAAAAAGTTATGAGGAATTTAAAAACTTAGAATCTAAGTAAGGACAAAGAGTGAGTGCACCTAGGCCATTGGGAAAGATTTCAAACCATATCGTTCAAAATCCCTAACCATTGATTACGATAATCTAAAAGTATTGTTTTCATCCCTAGACCTGAAAACCCTGGTTTTGATTCCGTTGATTTATTGATGGCTGTATGTAGAAAGGGATAGGGAGAGATGCATTCCAAACATGTTTGCATCGTTTCGCAGTGTGATTAGAGGACTTCATTTTGTTAGTTTTTGCCAAACCAAACAATGTCATCTGCTTATTTAGAGTCAACAAATTAATCCATTTTATTGAAATCATGAACCGATCAATGTTAGACCAGCATTCAAAACCTAGAAGCGCTGGATGCTGACTCAGGGATTGGAAGGTTAGGCGTTTTCGTGTCAGACCAAAGGTCCTGGGTTCGAATCCTGCGTTCGGGAGGAGTTCCATACTAGAACGAAACGGTCATTCAATGGTAGTCTAACATTGTTTGGTTCATGATTTCAATAAAATTCAACAGTCTCCACAACCCCCAAACTGAAAATTAATCTATTGGTAGAAGATCGATCTGTGATAAGTTAAAAGAAGAAAAGCATTATGTCTAAAAGAATGTTTACGATGAAGATAGATAGAATTGTGGAAATTGGCCAAGCCTAATATATGTCACTTGAGGTTAACGGTTTCAAAGTCAGTTACCCATAATCTCTGAATTGACTAGAAGTATATTTGTTATAACTTGTTGTTTTGTACCCTTGGTTCTTTATTTTTCACCCCGTCGCCAATTGTTATAACGCTCAGTTTTACTTCATCTCATGTTATAACGGTCGGTTTACCGCGTTTACACGTATGGGACGTAAATTTACCTTAGAAGAATATCTACACTAGATTCCCTCTCAGTGTATATTCTACGAGGCTTCAACACAACTCATATCAAGAACATGTGATTAACCTGACCACAACGTAAATATATTTCCACTCAAAAAACCCGACACAATCCAATAACAATAAACAATCAATAATAATACTTATAAGGATAGGGGAATATATAACCCATCTGACACCTGTAAGACTATCTACATGCATGACTAAGCAGACAACCAATCATTATCACTCTCGCCCACACATCAATATTATACAAAAAAATACTGATTTATCTTGTTCACATATTGATGGTAAGGCTTATTTCCTCTCACTTAATCTTTATTTTGTAAATAAAATTCAGTTTTTTTTTAAAAAAAATACTTTTTTCCTCATTCATATTCAATGTTTTTTTTGTTTAAACAAAAAAAATATGTAAAATCACATTTATAAAGCGACTCATGATCAACGTCCTATTGAAGTACTTGAAATAATTGATAGTGAAATATGGGAAATACAATTATCTAGTTTAATTAATAATATTCTTATACCAGCTAATTATCATGTTTTACGTTGGACACGTTTACCATATTTATGTGAAGGTGATTTTTCTAAATCATTCTATTATTTAAATGAAATTATACTTGTTTTACAATATTCAATATCTAATAATCTAAATAAATAAAAGGGTTGATGGTTTCATAATCTTTTTATTATTATATTAAATTGAAATTTTTCTAGTTTGCTTGTGTATTACGTATGGTTTATTTATTTATTGGTTGATTGATTTTTCGACCGATTCTTTTATTGATACTTTTATCAATTTACTGATTATTTGTTAATTTTTATTGTTGATGAAAATTTCAAATGTACATGATTACCATTATTATTATTGGTGTTTTGCAAGTACTTTCATTATTTATTTTGAAATAAATACTTTTAATTTCAATACAATCAAAAAGTTTATTGTCTTTTTAATTACTATTCGTTTCTTTTGAATAGTAACTACTGTTACTAATTCTTATTATTAATACTATTGGATTATCTGATCACATGAACTATGAAGTAGCCTCTAAATGCCCTGGTACAGCTGAGAATGCGTATACAGCCACTGTCAGGAAAGTCTTACTCACTGCCTTCGACTGACAAGGGTGTTGTTCACCGTATTGAGAGGACGAAAACCGAATGTCCAACGCTTTAACCGAGTTGCTGGATACAGAGGATCCATTTAGAGGATGTTGGAAAACCCTGATTTCAAACCAATGGTGTATATGGGCTTCAGTATTCTGAAGGATCAAATGGCGTATGAACCTCTTGATGGTCACCGGTTACTATGAGACCGCATCTTGTGATGTTGCTCCACTGCCTTGTGGATCAGACCTTCAGGTCGAAGGCTCCGGGTGTGGCTCCCTAAGAAAACCACCCGCTTCGGTTTGGGCACCCGGGCAGTATCACAGCCCACACACAAATCAAGTGACTTGTGTGACGCATATGTATTTGGTGCCTTCTTGTACCAATGTTTATGTGTTTGAATAATTATGAAGTATAATGAATTTATGTGCTATTAGCACTATCAAGAGTTAATTTTCAACCATATAATTGATGAAATGGTTGATTTAAACGTTTACCCGATAGTGATTGGTTTACTTAAAGTGATTATTTTAGGTTGTATTGAAGCTGTTGGGGTAGGATATTGTCAATCTCTAATTTATAATTCGTGTTACCACTTCATTTGAATAATACTACTTGTTAGTTTATTAGATCAATGAACATCAGCTACTTGTCCGTTTTAGCTATTATAATTTTGGGTTCCTTAAAAACCTTTATAAGCAGTTATATCTTTGTTCTCTCATATTCTGCTGCTTAGTAAGAAACGAGATTATTTATTTATTTATTTAAACACATAAATATTGGTACAGAAGAGCGACAATATATTGCGCCACACAAAACAATGAGAATTCGAAGAGAAAGAAAAAAAAGGTAAGGAGCGTAAAAAAAAGAGAACAATAACGAAGAGATTGGTGTAAGGTAATGTGCTAGTAATCAGGGAACGCAAAGGTACAATCGGAAGAAATCTTTCAGGTAAGGAGACACAACCACTTTTTATGAAGAAAGTAAAAGAAGGTTACAGCAGGATCGCCACTGGCTTCTATTCTGAGCCATATCTGATAACGTCTCTAGCCACTGTGTAGCACCATCTCTCAGACCCCAACCAGGGAGTCGTGAAGGACCAACACAAGCCAGTCCTTTGCAGCTTTCTTTCATGCCACGACACCATGTCATGCACTGACCACCTCTCCGCTTCTTCCAACCAGTCCCAGAGTCGGCAAATAATGCACGACGTGGAATTCTCTGGGACGACATTCGGAGAACATGTCCAAGCCACCGAAGTCGGTGTTTCAAGATGGTGACACCAATTGAATTATCATCTCTGTGCCCGAACACACGATGCCGAACCTCTGCATTACTGACATGGTGTTGCCACTGAATGTCAGCAATCCTTCGGAGACAGCGATGATCGAACACAGAGAGTCGTCTAACGTCCTCAACTCGGAGAGGCCAGGTTTCACAAGCATAGAGCAAAACTGCTCTCACCGACGCGTTGTAGATCCGACCTTTTACAGCCAGACTAACATCACGAAGGCGCCAAAGGTGGCCCAGATTGGCATAAGCCGCTCTGGCTTTCACTATACGTGCATTGATCTCATCACTCACACCCCCACCAGCACTTATGCAGCTACCCAGATACACGAACTTCTCGACTACGTCTATCTGCTCACCATCCAGGGTGAGTACAGGATTGGAATCCTGCCAGTCTTGTAGAAGTACTTTGCACTTCGAAGGTGCAAAGCACATACCATACCTACGGACACTGATTGCCAACTGATTAAGTGCGGATTGCATGCCTTGGGCATTATCGCACAGTAAGACAATATCGTCCGCATACTCAAGGTCGAGAAGTCTTTCTCCAGGCAACAGATCCACACCACCATTACTTACATTCATCAGAGCTGTTTCCAGAATGTCATCGATGGCAAAGTTGAAGAGGAATGGTGAGATTGGGCAACCCTGCCTAACCCCACTGCTCGAATGGAACAATGGAGAGAGGTGGTTGTATGCCCTCACTCTGCCTGAGGTGTTTTTATATAGGGCTTTTAGGATGTTAATAAACTTCTCAGGCACACCCTTCTTCAATAGACAATCCCAGAGAACAGTCCTGTCCAACGAATCGAAGGCAGCCCTGATGTCAAGAAACACTACGATTGTTGGCCTTTGATAAGTATGGCGGTGTTCTAACATTTGGCGGAGGGTGAAGATATGATCAATACATCCTCGACCAGAACGAAACCCAGCCTGCTCCTCGCGAGTCAATCTTTCTCGGGTTTTGAACAACCTACGAAGTATGACGGAAGCCAATAGCTTGGACGCAATCGGAAGTAGACTTATCCCCCGATAGTTGTTACAGGAACGACGTGAACCCTTTTTAAAGATAGGGACAACTATCGACTCATTCCATGACGTTGGCACACTCTAGTTCCCAAACCTTTGTAAACAACGTCGTCAATTCCTTAGTCAAAAAGTCACCACCATCTTTAAAAAGAGCCGGAGGTAAGTCATCTGGGCCAGGTGATTTGTAACGCTTCAAGAGTTGGAGTTCCTTGCGGACTTCCTCCTCGTTTGGTGGATCAGTCGTCACCGGCCATGGAGGGCAGGACAGTCTGACCGATGTTGCCGGAGCAGCAGGCCAGTTGAACTGCCCTTCGAAAAATTCTGCCCATCGTCCAAGACGTCGATGGATGTTAGTGATTGGCATCCCATCATCCTCGCAGATTGTTTCACTCACACCAGACTTCTTGCTGCCAGTGGCTCGGATGAGCTGGAAGAGCTTCCGGTAGTTACCAGATGCAGCTGCTGCTTCCAGCTCATTAGCACGCTCGACCACCAGGCTTCTCGGTCCTTACGCAAGCTTTGCCCAATTTCCTTACGTAACATCCTTCGTTTATGGTCAAACTCACGGTCACCCGGAGTAGACCGACGGGCTTCAATGAGTTGTAAGGAACCAGAAGAAACCCAGTGCTTAAAAGCGGGACGTTTCGCAAACCCACAACTGACTGTTCCCGCCATTTTCATGGCGTCATGCAATTGCAACCAATGCTCATCTATACTTTTCGGTGGAGTGGTAGCTAGCCTAGAGGCTAGCTCGGTTCGATACTTACTTGCAACAGAAGTTGCAACCAGCTTGCTAACATCAATCCGTTGATGGTGGTCACTTCGTTGGCCACTGAAAAGTAAGGCAAGATTGGCGCAGACCAAGGCATGGTCAGAGTCCAGATAGGTACTCCAAAAGGAGCGGCAGTCTTGTACACAACCACGCCAGCGGTAGCTGATCGCGATGTGATCAATCTGAGTCCAGGCTTGAGATGCAGAGGGAGGACGCCAGGTGGCACATCGGCGATGACTGTGCCGAAAGTTAGTGCTAGCCAGAAACAGGTTGTGGTCTGTGCACAGTTGCAGTAGACGGTCCCCGTTATCTGACCTGCGACCAACGAGTCCCCATCGGCCACCTAAACGACTCTCTTCTGTGCCTAGACGCCCGACCTGAGCATTCAAGTCTCCGGCTAGTACTACAATATCTGTCGAACGCACTTTCTGGAGAAGAACAGATAACTGGTGGTAAAACTCATCCTTGATTGCATCCGGGCTGCAATCTGTCGGGGCATAGGCGGAGATGACGAAAAGACATCGTTTCTCACGCCGATTTCTTCTCACTTTGATGGAACTTTCTAATCTAACAGCACATAACCGACTGTTAATGGGGATCCAATCGACTAGTGCTGCCTCAGCTCTAGCGCTTAGTGCGACACCAACGCCAGCAAGACCAGACGAAGATGCCACAGGGTCCCCGGGCGAACGTAAAACAAGCTTTTCGAAGCGACAGATGGAGAATGGGTTTGTAGTACTTCACCAGAGTCTTGAATACGGGTCTCGGATAGACAACAGACGTCAATATTAAGACTTTCCAAAGACATAGCCAGCCCTATCTGTTGTCCGACCTGCATAAGTGTGCGAACGTTGAAGGCAGCCAGTTTGAATGGCGCACGTGGTTTCAGAAAAACTGCTTCAGTACTCATATTCGATGGTAACATACAACTTTCAACCGGACAGTGACTCGAGAACGTTTAGATACAGTCGGATTTCCACCAAAGACGAGCCGCTGTATAAGTATAAAAGAGGGTGAATAATGTGGTAAATAATAATAATGACAATAATAGTAATGATAATAATTTGAATCATTTGATTGTTTTTCGAAGCGAGAAAAGTAGTTTCCATAATTATAGGCAGTTCATCATATTTGTGTGGGCTGCGATACTGCCCGGGTTCCCAGACCGAAGCAGGTGGTTATCTTAGGCGGCCACACCCCAAGCCTTTGACCTAAAGATCTAACCCATAAGGCAGTGGGGCATCGTAAGGAGATGCAGTCCCATGGTAGCCGGTGACCAACGATTGGTTCATACGCCATTTATTCCCGCAGGATACTGGAGCCCATGTGCACCATTGGTTTGGGATCCGGTTAAAGCGTTGGACATTCGCTTTTCGTCCTCTCATTTTCGTAAACAACACCCCCGCCACGAGAAGGCAATGAGTAGGACTTCCCTGGCAGAGGCTGTATACGCGTGGCCGTGTGAGAGTATTGTGAGAGGGAGGGCGGACTCTCCACTCTCGGCCGTACCAGGGCATTTGTTTTTCAAAATAACTTGTTACTGAAACATGAAGTGATTTCACTACATAAGATACTAATTATTTGTGTTGATGACAAGGCACACTGTTGTGGTTGCTTGTGGAATATATTTCCGTCTTGCCAAGTTGGATTTCTCTCTCTAGTTAGCTGGGCTTGGACGCGTCG